GATAAAACAGGCAGTGAAAGCACATCCACAGAGGTGGATGAGCAGACGGTCCCGGACACGCCGCGAAAAGTGGGACGTGTGTCTGAGACAACGACAATCGGGTTTATGGACATCAACCAACATGATTCACAACAAGCTTATCCTGACTGTCAGCCAACGGTACTTCTCGTCAAAACTGTCTGTTTAACCCAAGTGGTCAAGTCCTTTTGGTAATTGCAGGCTTATTCGCGCAGTTTGTAAAGCCGGACAAATATTCAAAATTTAAACTTGTACACCACTTCGGCACTCGCCATAACATGCCAAGGTCTCTTTCGCTTGCGCACGTTTGCAGCCACATGAGCAGGCAGTGATTTATGCAGCCCCTTTGTGAAATGCCGACTCGAATTCGACAAAAACGTTTGTTCAGGCACTAGAGGAAATGCGCTACAAATCAGGTGCATTTTATGGAACAGCATCACGACAGCCATAAAGTCAAAACTCTCAAAAAGTAGGTTTCAACCATGGAAAACATGGGCTTAAGCTATAGGCGATTTCATCGCAAGTCAACAACATTTAATGGTGGGAACGAATGCATTTTTTTACATTTTCACTTATTTAGCCTTGCTTTAGCCATTTTGTGCAATCAACAAACAACCGCAGGTGGATTTGTAGTAAAAACGCAAGGAGAAGACTGCCAGGTACTGCCATGATATACACGGTCCATAGATGCAAATCACCAAGCGTAACTAATTGTGACCTCTTGTTAGGCACGTCAAAGGCTTCTAGGAACTGGTCAAAAGACAGGAGCTCATGCATAGAGCATTGCTGCCTCAGTACAAGGTGAGGCCAAGGCGGAAGTAGAGCGTGTGTTCAGATGCGCCTGATTTGAGCGACTAGCACTGAAGGATTAGTTGTGAGTGAAAACAACGATATGAAGTGACTGTGGAGTTGTGATGGTGTGGACCGAATTGGGTTAATTAAATTGTCTATAGGAATCTTGACGGCTCCAACAGGAATTGTGGTGGATTGTCAGCGATCGTGCCTGCGTGGAGGTTGCTTACTAAGCTGATGGTATCAGTGACTCATCACATTGCATTCTTTACTATCATCAGTCAATTGTCATTCGCAAACAAACACATATGACTGGATTAACGCTATTACCTCGTTTTTCTCCGGTTTTGGGTTTTTACGAGCGTTTAAAGAGGAGGATTGTAAGGCAGTATTAATAAACTTACTGCGGGACTGTCATTTACTTTAGTGCTGGATTATTCTAAAGATCTATTGCTGAAACAGGGCATAATTCGCAGACCCAATAATTGGGTGTTGAATGAAAGTCATTAAATTATTTGAGCGCCGATAACCAAAAATACGCATTACGTAGTGTTTCAGCCATCAACATTAGTTGATTTACAGTATTCTAGAAACGCACTTAAAATGTTCAAGCCATACAAAAGTGTAAAATCTAGACATTAGTGCTTGAGAAGTCGAGTATGCCAGAAGATAGTAGCCCACTTTTAAGTACCCTTACCGATCGCTAACTTTAGTTACATTATAATTTAGCCTTATTTGTTGCTTTCATTTGAAACAAATGCCCCAGAAAGCGATGGCGAAGCTGAGATGCGTCTGTACGCCTCTGGATTCCATTCATGACTGATGGCACTATTGCCTGCGGTTGTTGATATCTTGCGTCTTCACACCTTTCAGAGCAAATAAGTACGCACAAATACGGCACAAAATGAGGTTAACAACACAGACCAGGACTAAGGTAAGCAGGCTTTGCACAGCACTTCTGAATTCTGAAGGCACTTGGCGAATCTGGCAAACATATCAGTGCCATAAAACGGAATTATCAAGAACTGTCTGCAAATTGAGATTTTGATGCAGGATACTAAACTGACAGTGCAAAAAATTTCTTGGTTCCTATTGTTTCCAGCAAATTGTCTCAGGTTCTGTACGGCACACGCCCAAGAGAAATTTGTATTGCTCAGTTGCTATTTGAACAGTTTAGCAAAACTGTTTCTGCACAATGGGGAAAATGCTACGCACATTACTATGGAGTCAGAACAGCACGTGGAAGTGTGTCTCAAAAAACGAAGAGATTTTACCTCAGGATAAATTTTGCCAATGCCTCGGCGTGGGGCTTCACTCGTCATGTGAGTGTAAATTTTCAGAGTTCATAAATTGCCTTCTGGGCAAAACCTTATTCCGAGATTATGTCTCGCGAGACAGGCTAGGTGTTTATTTCATTGCCAAACGCCCGCAACGTAAAGATTGTTCAATCTAACATGAATGCACAAACATTATGCGCCTTGTGATGCCAGTTCCTTTTGTAAACTAATGTTTTTGTCAAAATTGTAGAGACTTCACCTACCAGATAGGTATGAATCTCATCACAACGTCCCGACTTGTACCACATCACGGAGTATAAGGCCAACTGCTGAAAGTCCATGTATTTTTTTCTAATCGCTGCGCATTTGACAACGTTTTGAATGATATACAGTGTGGTAAAGATTCGCGTCATCCTAGTAAGAACTACTATTCTGTTCGATCTAATAATACCTTGAGTAATGAGTACTTCAACTACTTGGGAACAATGTCTGACACAAAAAAACCGATTATTTTCTAAGATTGCTGTGGTAATTTTTATCGTTTTGGCAAACCATGGTAAGCACGATTAACAGCGTGAGAAAGCGTCAGCTGAGCCTGATCATTAGCATTTTCTGTTCGCAATAAATCATGCAATCCATTATACTAACTAATTCCGTTTCACTTAAACATTAAGCCTGAGAGCCCAAAGCACTGTCAAATCTTGCCTTTCAGGCCTGATATAGTGTAATATCATTAATCAGGCACCCCCCCTAATGCGTAATACCCTAAATTTAACCATTTCATAGACGTTCGCTCCTATCTGGGCTAAATCCTGAATCCTTGTGGTGGGCTATATTTACTACGCATCCTTGGACATACTTAAAAAGTTGATGATTTATGAGAACAAATCCACTGGCATGCATTTCCAAGTTGTTGTCGCCCATTCCCACCAAGAAATGTGTATTTTTTGCGAAAGTTTTTCAACAAACTTACAAATGTTTAAAATGTCAGATAAATCTGAAGAGGTTGAAGATATATTTAAACAAAAGATTTTTAACGAAGGTCTGACTAAGCAAATTCCTCTTTTGATCAATTTTACTAACACTGACACGTACACGAAACCACTTACCTTGAGCTCTGTTAAAAATCAAAATATTTTAACGTCATAAAACCCATTTGAATTTAATTGCCACGACAACAGCTTGAGTTCTGAAGACGTTTGTCATCTAATCGCAACTTATCATTCAGTTCAGATAAGATTTATTGGTTGACACTGTGACAATGCCAAAGGAAGTTTTGATGTCCAACCAAGTCACGCGGATAATTTTTACTCTGATTTACAGAGATTAACACATTTAATGCAGACAAATACGTTAGCATTAATTACATAAACTGCTACCTTATAATTTGCTTCGACAAAAATACATAACAATGTTCAGTTAATTATTTAGAACCATAGTAAATGCGTGTTTAGTTCCAAACGCACATAAAAAATTTTCCAAAAAACTTTTGTAAAACCCCCTAAATACACTGCAATGCTAATGACCAAGGTTGAATACATGTTAGGATGCTTGTGCGACTATGAACAGTAAATCAGGATAAATATAATTCGTTAACTTTTGGATTAGCCCCTGTTTTTGTAGCAACGTGTCATTTAATTTTGACATTAACGCCTTGAGTGTGGCTCGATAATCAAGAGGGGAGCAATTTTAGCATGGCACTGCTTATTTGTGTTTTTTCAGGTGCCCATCAAAATGACATCGGTCCACACTTTGCCCCATAAATGTTCTCATGACACCAGATGCAATCATCTGGTCTTTAAGTAGGAACACAGTCTTGAGATGGCCATTTTAGCCCACACAGTGAAAACCACTGCCCCATTTCCTTTAAGTGGCGGAAGCTGAAAGGAAACGGTTTAGCAGTGGTAAAGAATTTTTCGGGCATCCTCAGAACGTTCACTCAGGCCATGTGCAATTGCAGCAGCAAAACGGCCCAACTTGTAGACTGCCAGCGACACGTGCCTATACCAAGCTAACGTTTTCTTCACATGTAAGTAATTTTTTTAGGCTCGTCCATGCAGGAAATCAATGGAGCACAACCATGCCAAAAGTGGGATATTTATACACTGGAACGTGTCCACAAGATCGTAAAAGGACTTCACCTTGATGAAGGTAACACTTTTTGCTTGATTACACCAAAAATGGAAGAAAACTATCCAATCATGAGAGCATGAGTGACTGCTTTATTTGTACGAAAAGCCACGTATAATTCAATCGGAAAGAATCACTCTTAATATACATAAGTGATGGTTTTATTACGGCCTAGTAGATTTGCTAATTAACGTCATAACTTCAGGTCAATTTGCATAATTTTACGGCAAATCATGAAGCGTGATCTGAATAAAATTGGCCTTCCCGCGTTCTTATTGCGTTTAACGTGCATTCATTTGCTTAAATTTCTGCTGTATCCACTGTTGCTAGGTAGCATCGTAAATATTTCCTTTACCTACATGTATTATCCACAAAAACCCTTACAGGTTGGAATTATTCCCTTCACAAAGCAAGCCGTGACAAATCGTGTTTTACTATCTCTTTATGAGAGTTGGGATAACCAAGCCCCATGTTAGAAAACGGAGCTATTTCTTTGAGTTAACCAAAAGCAGTAAAAGCAGTTGACATTGGATAAATCTTATTAAAAAAACTTAGTCAATGATGACACCAACGGCTTGGTTTCATGCATTATTGATGCCCCTTGGGCGTTATACTTCAATCAGCTGTTCAGAGGTAGGGAAGCTATGCAATTGGCTGTCCCCACGTGACCTAGAATCTACGCCCGCCATCCAATCATGTGGCTCTACCAAATAAAATAAATATCTAGACTTCCTGTAAGAATGCTAATGCCTATCAACCTCCGGTTACAAACAGTTGTAAAGCATGTCCTTACAAACTGTCCAACCCCTCGAAGTGGGTACCAACAGCTCTACTGTGGAAAAATCTATCATTATGATACCTCCTATTATCACGGAAACTGAAAACAAACCTAAATTTGAAAAACAGGTGTCTGTCGACACAAGATCCTCAATAAGATTTAATTTGCCAGCATCTCATAATTCATCGCTTTCCACTCTAACTTCCCTGTCCTCGTCAGCGAACGATACTGCAAAAGACTCGACTGCAGTTCACCCATCCGCAAACCTAAAGTTCCTTCGTAGCATTCATGAACGCACAAAAAGGAAGCAGAGATTACGTAACTGCTTGAAGATATTCAATTGCATCTTCGTTTACGGACTACCGATTGGAGGAATATTCCTCGGAATCGCAGGAATTCTTCTCGGTCACTTTCTCCACATCGAACCCATTTTTGTTGGAGGCTGTCTGCTTTTGATAACAGCCGTTGGATTTATACTGCAAGCCTGCTTCTGGAGACGCAGTTTGCCAAACAAGTTTCGGGCAAAAGAAATTGCCTTCAATATGCCCCAAGAAGACAGTCTCATTTCTAAATCCAACGAACGATCAGACGATGAGCCTAATAGTAGCGTCAACTCAAACTGCGTTGAACCGTCAGTCAAGTCGCCTGCAGTAAATTCTGCCCAGGTTCGACGACTCAGTATGGCGTTAAGCAGGGCCACGGCCGAACTGTCAGCGGCCAGACAGATAACCTCGGTTACGGGCAGGAGTGGCGGGGTTTTGAACCTCGCGCGTCGATTGACTATGGCGCAAATGAATTTCGGCGACTATGCAGACCATCGAGAGTTGGAGTCCGGGAATGGGTGGATTGCCGGCAGATTTCCCCACGGTGTCAGAAGTGGCCTCGCGTGGAATGATACAGGCGCTTCGCGATTTTATGCATCGAATTATGACTAATCCTTCTCCATGCGATCTACACAAAGTGTGTTAAAGTGCAGTTAACTGCGCATTCGGTATTTTGTGTTGTTTTGTATTTGCTTATGGAAATATTTTTCTTACATCCTGTTCAAATGTAACTTAATCATTGCTAAGAGTCGTTTTGCGTTTTATTTAAAAAACAACAACAATTGTAACAAAAATTGGACAATGCTTAGCAAATTCAACAAGAAAACAAACCAGGCACTTGTAATGATTCCCTTTATTTGTACAGTTTAAGGGAAAAATGCGAAGAGGTAGTGGAAGTAGGTCTGTCGTACAAACTCAGTGTGTATTTATTAATAGCCATGAATTTGATGAATCTTAGTGTTGCACATAAGCGAATTCGATGAAGAATACCAAAATATCTATTCATAAGACTCCAAATCATAATGTGATATAGGAATTTAAAAATGAATTTCAAGTCTAAGACGGAAACGTCGGAAGAGAAGGAGAAGCAGTACACATCCAGGCTCGGCCTTCCCAAATACTTTTTTCGACTTGAAACATGCGTGAGTTGAATTCAACATGCAAACCAAGTAAGTATCAGGTTAACATGAAGGAGTATTTCATAAATTAGAGTCAATACTTAATTCCTTACACGGTTATGTTTGTGGAGAAAGCAGACTAGTCTGGGTTTTGTGGCAAGATAATTGTAAATCTACTCTGTTTGAAGCGGTTGGTTACGGTCAGATCAGACGTATTAGGAAACGTAGGGACCCAGCTGGTAACAAACAATGTGAAAGAAGTCAAATCACAAGTGCAAAGAGCCTGTTAGACGTGCGCAGGCTTTGTGAGAAATGTCGATCAATTTTGGATTGACACCATTGCCTGCGATCCCGTGTGTGTGGTAGATGGTTCCAATAGGTACCAGTCAAACTTGGTACATATTGGCAACGGTGGTTCTTAGAAGTATTACTTCAAAACTAACAACGCCGACTAAGTGAAATATTAGACGATGTCAGTAGTTTAAACAAAGGAACACACATCAATGCAGTTTTACAAAACAGATTTAAATCAACACAGAAACAGTTGAGAGCTGTCAAACAAGAAAACTAAGTCTAACAGTTGATTGGTGCGTATTGCAGACATGGGAAATCAGTTATTTTCATTTGTTTGAACAAATAATGGAAAATCAGTTACGGTTTACAGTCGAAAAACGCCACGTAGGTAGGTCCATGCTTGTCACATTAACTCAGTTCGACTGCCTACACCGGCCGTGTCTGTTGTATGCCACCTTCTTCGTGATCTTCCTGGTCTAAAACGTACGATTTTGGGCTTCATTGCCTTAAAAAAGCTGATTAAGGAATCACCTGTGAAAGTCTAGAAAAAGCGCAGAATAAAGGCTGGGAGAGATTCCAAGTTTGGTGTTTATGTGAAGCGATCTGCACTGCATATTTCTCAACATTCCTTTTTTAACTTTCTACATTAAATTATTGCAAGTGAGTGTAGTAAATTCAAAGCAATTTAAGGAATATTCCTTCTCAGAAATTAATCGCCAACGTTAGAGTATGCGCTGTGTAAACAAGTTTTTATCAGAATTCCTGCTATTGGCTAGCTCGTTTGCATTTTAGCTCATTGCCCAATTATCTATTAGTTCAGTTAGTGTATTTATCCAACTTCTGAACTTTAATACCTCTTACACAACATGAAGTTGCCTAAATGTTCCATTTCACATTTAAGTCACTCTTCCTGCACTTTTGCTTTGTAGCACTTTTTAAATTGCCTTTCCTTTTATTACATAAACGCTTTCAATTGGTTTTAAACTGCTATTTTAAAAATTTAAATCTTATCAATTCCCATGAGCTATATAAAAAGCATTCACAATAAAAGTACAACGTTCTAGTACGTTGGCGCCACACATAATGGAGTTCTTATCTCAAGAGGCATCTTTCTACCACGAAAAACTTTCGATTTTGTCTGGGTTTGGTCTCTTAGCGCGCATCTAAATTACTTTGAGAGTTAGTGTTGGTTTGGAAAGTGCGTCAGACTGCTCGTTCTCCACTAATACTTAAAAAAAACACTCAGCTGTGTTTTGTGACAAGCGCATTCATTCTTTCATTTATTAGGGTCTGTTTTGATGCCGTCATTTAAGCGATATGGTGGAAGTTGCCGAAATCGATTTGGGTTGCCAAAAGTCCTTATCCTACTTTTCAGTACAATTTAAATTTTGATTTAAAAAATCGAAACTTTTTTTACAGATCTACCAGGGACTGCACTAGAATTTGATATTATCAAAACACTGCCAGAGGAAATCGCACTATAGTTCACTTGACACATTTTCTAGTAGGCTATTTTTATGGCGGCAGAAAGTAGCATAAGGAACCGTGGAAAGTTCCAATTCGTGTCTTGTTATCTTGCTACAAGATGTGGAGCTCGATTATCACCCACGGTAAGCTTCCATAATTCTGGAACGCCTCAAGTTGCCCTACTAAGCAGTTGGAACAGCAAGTGGGTATAATTTTACCAAAAGTCTCTCGGCTAATTTATTTTGAAGCCGATTTCATGAATTAATAAGTCTTTCGTCCAAAAGCCTTCTTACTCGACATGTTCTTTTGCTTTTTGCACTGTTTAAGACTGCTGCCATAGCTGCGATGGACTTCCACTTGTGTGGCAAAAAACTTAGAGAAGAAATCTCACAGGTAGAAACAGCTGTTCACGAGTAAGCATATGGTTTTCATTGACTCAAGTAGATGAGAATCAAAAGTAATTACTGGCGCATCGCAAGTGCATGCCGCATCGCATGATGATAATTGTAGTCTTCAACTTTAAATCAAAGGTCAGGTGGGTTTCGGTTTTGCTAAACCGAAACAGTACAGCCATTGAGAGGGGGAGATTTAAAGGAACACAAAAAGTCAGTGTTTATGTTAGGTCTCTGGATGAGTAGTTTGTTCTTCCTTGCTTGACTTGATTAGCATTAAAATTGCCTGACCAAAGCCAAACACTGCAGGGCAACCATACATTGAGGTGACTTCTGGTGCTGTAGTTTTGCGGTCAAAATGAGCATTAAGGTATGGTTTTCTCTTATTTCTAAAAATTCCTCTTTATACCAATTTCCCAAATTGTCAGTCAAGCTGCGAGCAGAGTACACATGTACACCAGTAAACACGACGTCTGCTTTCTATCCCACAACCGCTATGTTGACTTTTTGAAGTAATGTCAGTCGTGAATTAAAGGCATGTTAATTGCTATGTGTCAGAAGGCAAAATTCGAGTATGTAGCGGTTTAAAACGATTTTACACCACATCGTAAATGCATGGTTTACAGAGGTGACCCTTCCCCCCCGTCCGTTACACCTCAAGCATACCTCAACCTATGTATTCAGTTCTTTCAAATAGTCTTCTGTAGTGGCAACTGCCTTGACTATTTTTACGCGATCTCATTGCGCCACTCAATCAGCTCATAAACCGGCGTTCACCAACGGCCTCGAGCATCATTAACACCTTGTCCTCGCGACGCCACACAGCTCTTTCCTTAAATCACTTCAATATCTGGCTTTGATTGGTTCACCGGGTGCTACATTTGTGAGAATACACATTTTAGCCCCCGATAAGTGCTCATTTACGCAAAACTGGATGGAGGTATGACTGCCTCAATTAGGCCAAAAATTGCTCACTTTCGTTGATGTCTTCCCCATTCTGCCTTAATTGGGCTTAATACGGGCTTTGGGAGCATACTTCGACACACTTTTCATAAACCAATCCAGCAATCACCGGTTTAGTCGTGAAATCAGTTTTTGGAGGAAAATCTGCCTGCTGGTATTCCGCCAATCAGAAATGCAAGACACTAACAAGGTGATCGTTCGCGGGATTGGGCTTGCGTGGTTTCGCCACCCAAATTAACTTACGCAAAAGTAGAAAACGAATTTCTAAGTTTTTTTTTCCTATATGGTGCCTGCTAGGTGGAAAAAAAGTAGGCGAGTCAATCGAAAACACAAACCCGGAAACGTCAGCGAGAAGCGGTGGCCTACACAAATATCAACTGGTCTAGGAGGACGTTGGGATGTGTTCATCGAGGAAATTTGCCTAAAATCCACCAACCCACAATTATGGCACCTTAAAAATCCTCGAGGAAAATTTTATGGCTGCAGAATGCGCAGTGAGCGCGTCTAGGATGACAATAAATTACGCCATAAAGAAACATCTATGCATTTTTACTGTTGAGACAACACAGGGAGGTGAAGGCGTCGTGTTAATCTACCAAACGCATTTGGGCTAATGACAAAACAATGGATTTTTTACTGTGCGAATTTTTGGGCTAATCTTTTTGAATCTTATTTTAGTTTAAGTGGTACAACTATGCTTCATAATTTACCTAGATACACAATTACTGCTGAAGTTGCTGGCCTGACGAGAAATTTTTGTTTTGAGTTTATGCCATTCGCCGGTGAGCACAGCAATGTATTTGTTCACTTAAGGAGCGGTTAAAAGCCCCGGTTGATTCAATTAACATTTATTCAGGCACTTTTATGGAATGGTATCAAGTTTAGTGCCATGTCCATGCAGAATCGGGATAATGATAATGATAATCGTTAATGCATTTGGAACTAGGGTTATTTAACTGCGTTGTGTTTCAACTGTAATTTGCCATGAAGTTTTTGATTCAGTGAATTCTACGTTTTACAGACGCTTCGAGCATCGAGCCAGAACTGACCACAGTAATTATAATCAACCAAACATAAGACCTCGTAGTAAACCGCGGCGAGTAACGTTTGCCAATTCAGACACTCCTCTGCCGTCCTACCTCCCCCAATACTGAACGTCGTATTTGTTCATGCAGACACGTCTGATCATGCTCCCCTGTGTTCATGCCCCCTCATTCACACATCTTGCCACTCATCAGGCAGTTGCACTATTAGTCTACGGTCCTCATTTGTTGTTGATGTCCTCCGTGGGCACATTTAGGACTTGTGAGCTACAAAACTTTGAACTCATACACACGACAAACACAATCGCGTTGAGCCGCCTCTAGTCTAGAGCTGC